AAGAAAATAGATGGCTATGATTAAATCTTGCACTTAAATGAGCTAATGGGTTGGGAAGAATGGGCTAAAGATAATTGGGTTGGACCATATCTTTTTGTGTCTCAATCTTGGGCTAAGAAGACTCCAAAAATTATTATTTAAAACCATAGCTAAATTCCCTTAATATAAGATAACTATACTACATGATGCAAAAATAAATTCTAACTAATTAAACTAAACTAAATTAAAACATAAAACTATTACATATTTTTTTTTTGTATTTTTCAAGATTATATAAAGATAAAAACAAAGTCCTATTTTTGTATTTTTTTTACTTTATGAAAGGTACATAAAATAAAATATTTTTTTTTGTAATTTTCATTTTCTTATAATAATTTAAATAAAAGAGTCAGAATTAGTTGAAATAGCGATATTAGGCCTAAATTAAATATTTACATGCTAAAATATAAAAAATCTTGGGGAGGATAAAAAATCACATGTTTACAGCTGCCCCTCTTTGACTGGAAACGTGAAGAGTTTTCAGACAAAGAATGACTAGATAGATTTTTTGACCCGACCTTTATTTAAGGAGACCAAAAACTAAGAGGAAGGAGAATGTGACCGAGCCCTGGTATCTGAGCTGCCTACATATCCTTGGCTATAAAGGAATCAGGCCACATGTAGTTCAGAGGTGAGTGAGATGATGGAGTATGCCGAGGTGAAGAGCCGGTCGAGGTGCCATTCCGCCGAGGTTCCGGTCCGCGGTCATGATGTTACATCAAAAATCAAAACATGAAAAAGACTAGCTAAGCCTATTAACTACGAGTTACAAGATTCCTATCTATAAGTTTTCTGAAGCTTGATCTTGAGTGGTTCTTCATGCAGACTTTAGATTTGAACCTTGACGCTTGCTAGTTGTAGGTGCTAGTTCGTTCTTCTTTAGCTTTTTGGATCAAGATCGGACATGCAGTGCTTGTGACCTCAGTCATGTCTTGAGCAATCCGCCTCTTGTTTCAACTTCTGCATTATGGCTTCACTCCCTTTTTTCCCTTTTTCTTTTCTTATTATTTATTTTTTTGTTTTTGTTTTATTTTAATTCTGGACTGAGATTACTTCCATTGATCATCTCGTCTGTTGACTCGCCTTCTTGCCGCGAGCTTCTGCTACTTCTAACTTGAACTGTTTTCCTTTGAGACTTGAACTGCTTTCCCTTGAAACTCAAATTGTTTTCCGTGAAACTGCTTTTCCTTGAAATTTGAACTGTCTTCTCTTGTTCTCCAGGTGGGCGCTTGATTGCTGAACTTGACCTGTCTTTCTTCGAAGCTTGAACCGTTTTCTCTTGTTACTTGAAACTGTGTTCCCTTGCACCTTGAACCATTTTTCCTTGAAACTCGAACTGTTTTCCTTGAAACGTGAGTTGTTTTTCCTTGTTCTCCAGGTGGGCGCCTGATACCACAACAAAACAGACAAAACAAAAGAAACTTTTCTTCTCCAGTTTGGACTAGGAAGATTTGTGAGTTGTTAGCAAAATTGTAAACCACTTGTACTATTGATGCAATGATGAGAGTAAATTAAAGAATAGACTAGGAAAACAATAAACTAAGCTTGACTAAAGTAAAGACTGACCCTATTCTCCAGGCGGGGCCCCTAATTTCAAGAAAACTAGACATTGATAACTAAAAATTGACCCCTCTTTTTCAAATTCAGACTTCCCCTTCTTTTTTTTAAATTATTATCCTAGGAGACAATTTGTCAGACTAGGTTTTCTATCTTAGGAGAAAGATTCATCAAACTAAAATTTTGATCCTAGGAGAAAGTTCATCAGACTAGGTCTTTTTTTTTGTATCTTAGGAGAAAGATTCATCAAACTAAAATTTTGATCCTAGGAGAAAGTTCATCAGACTAGGTCTTTTTTTTTGTATCTTAGGAGAAAGATTCATATCCTAGGAGAAAATTCATCAGACTAGGTCACCTTTTTTTGGTATCTTAGGAGAAAGATTCATCATACTAAGATTTCTATCCTAGGAGAAAGTTCATCAGACTAGGTCTTCTATCTTAGGAGAAAAATTCATCAGACTAAGATTTTGATCATAGGAGAAAAGTCATCAGACTAGGTCTTCTAATTTATTATCTTAGGAGAAAGATTCATCCGACTAAGATTTTGATCCTAGGAGAAAATTCATCAGAGTAGGTCCTCTATCTTAGGAGAAAAATTCATCAGACTAAGATTTATATTGGGAGGAAAATCCATCAGACTAGGATTTTTTATCCTAGGAGGAAAAATGTGAAGATCAATGGCAAGATTTTATGCACAATAGCAAGACAAATAAAGGCAAAGATTTGAGAAACTTCCCTTTGTCGGCTCTTCTCGTCTTTTCTTTTTCTTCCCTTTTTTTTGTTGTTTTTTTTCTTTTTGTCATTTTTTTCTCTTTTTGAATCACTTTCCTTGCACCGCTTTGTTCCTATTTCATACAAAGAAAAATTTGTCAGTTTTGAAAATAGTGGTCAGTATGTGGCCTTGAGTCTTGGGCAGCTTGACTTCTGCTCAATCAGCTTGAGTCGACTTCAAGAGACTTTTGCTCTGCATTAACCCTAATTGTTTCACACCTAGTATTANACTTTTTTGGTATCTTAGGAGAAAGATTCATCAGACTAAGATTTCTATCCTAGGAGAAAGTTCATCAGACTAGATCTTCTATCTTAAGAGTAAAATTCATCAGACTAAGATTTTGATCCTAGGAGAAAAGTCATCAGACTAGGTCTTCTAATTTATTATCTTAGGAGAAAGATTCATCCGACTAAGATTTTGATCCTAGGAGAAAATTCATCAGAGTAGGTCCTCTATCTTAGGAGAAAAATTCATCAGACTAAGATTTATATTGGGAGGAAAATCCATCAGACTAGGATTTTTTATCCTAGGAGGAAAAATGTGAAGATCAATGGCAAGATTTTATGCACAATAGCAAGACAAATAAAGGCAAAGATTTGAGAAACTTCCCTTTGTCGGCTCTTCTCGTCTTTTCTTTTTCTTCCCTTTTTTTTGTTGTTTTTTTTCTTTTTGTCATTTTTTTCTCTTTTTGAATCACTTTCCTTGCACCGCTTTGTTCCTATTTCATACAAAGAAAAATTTGTCAGTTTTGAAAATAGTGGTCAGTATGTGGCCTTGAGTCTTGGGCAGCTTGACTTCTGCTCAATCAGCTTGAGTCGACTTCAAGAGACTTTTGCTCTGCATTAACCCTAATTGTTTCACACCTAGTATTAATTTGTACTTGCGGCTCAATCAGCCTTATCTCAATTGGAGATCTTTGCCTAGGTGACCCTTTCCGATATCTTGAATGACTTTCTGCTTTTTGAGCAATTTGTCTATCAAAGAGAATCACCAGTTATCTTTCTTTTGCCAAGTAGGCTGAGAAGAGTCTTTTTGGGGAAGCCTTTGTATGAATCCTTAATGTATATTGACAGAAACAACTTAGTGCTGGACAAATTTGATTTATGCAATTGAAAAGCTGGTAGAAGATTTTGAAATCTTTTCTTGCTTGTTTTGACAAGGACCGACTCGGAGTGCAGGACACAATTATGTAAAGAAACAAGTATTAACAAGAAATGCCCCTCGGAAGGACAGAAGGAAGAGTTTTTTTTTTTTTCAATAACTAGCCTTAATGATCATGACATGCATTTTGGACTTAACGGCCGATCTACCAAACTTATCCAATCTTCCCTTTTACCATTCTTATGACCTTTGAAGTCGGGCTTGTTTATGCCAATTCTTCGCATCAGCTTCACGACTCACTTTCGACAAGTAGTGCCCCAGGAGTTTTCACCAACAAGTCTCTCTCATTTATTCATCTCTGCTTACCGTCGCCTTACAGTGCCCGTGAAGGTTTTCACTAGTAAGACTCTCTCATTTTCCTTATTTTTCTTTTTTTTTTACTTTCTTGTGCGAGCAACTTGACAGTGTTCTATGTCGCGTGACAGCCATTGCTCATTGCATGCTTCTCTTGGCATTCTTGAAGGCATATTTGGAGGTCTTTATTTGGACGGTTTTGGATAGGGTTGGACAGAAGGGTCGGCATGAAGGCTTAACGTAGACTCAAAATAAAAGGGGGTGTAGACTTACAACTCTTAGAATCGACTCTTTCAAAAGTAAAATAAAATCTTTGCCCCAGTTTCAGATACTGGGGTTCTTTTTTTGAAATTTTTCTTTTCTTTTCTGAATTCTTATTTGGTTGGACCGAACCGTGAGGCTACCTACGTATCCTTTTTTAAGGAATCAGGTCGAACATAGTTCAAACATCTGACTTAACTATTTTTTTTCATTTTTCTTTCTGTTTTTTTTTTCTCTTTTTTTTTTCTATCTTTTTTGTTTCTTTTGTTTTCAAAACAAGTTGCCCCAGCTTCTATTTTTTGAGGGTATGGACCTTTGATAATTCTTTTTTTTTTCACTTGAACTTTCTAAAAGCTGCCCAGTTTGTACTCATGGGGCATGGACTTTTCTTTTCTTTTTTTTATTTTTTTTCTTTTTTTCATTTTTTTCTTGACTCTAAACTTGATTCCGAAAGAGGGTGGTCAAAGAAAATAACACAGGTTCAAAAGGGTGACAAAGGGTATAAAGGGTTTGGGTAGCAGAAAAATGGCCTCCCAATCTCGAGAATGCCAAACATAGTATCTTTCATAATCACGACATTGATGGACCTGTTGCTTTCTGGGTCTTTTTCAGTGTAAAGCTGTATGAGCAATACTTTCCTTGCAGTGAATGCCCCTTGCCAATTCAGGTGACTTTTCTTGGATTTTGTCTTGATGAAGAAGATTCATTTTGCCACTAACTAATCCATTTTAAGTTGTCTGGAATAGATCATCTTTTAAAAAAACACTTTCTATCTCTTAGTGCTAAACAATTTCAACCCGTTCTATCATCTTTAAGCCCGATCTTCTCAAATGATTCAAAAAGTAGAGATCTTTAACTTCTATGAGCATGACTGCTTTGGTTCCATGTAAACTGGGCTCATGCTTTTCTTTTTTTCCCAATTGTTTCATGTCTCTATTCATCTTCAAAAGTGTCTCTTTCTCACTTATCCAATTCAAGACTAAATAAGTTTTCTAAGATCTGGCCAAAAATTCCTCATACATGTCATGTCACCAAAAACTAGCATGGACAGAACTATGCACAAAATGGATACAAAATGACTGACTGCTTTTTATTGAATAAAGAATAGCAGGGTCGACAACACAAAAGAAGAAGAAAAAATGAGAAAATAAGCTACCATGCTAAAAGAGGAGTGACTTTCCAGTTACTAAGCAACATCTTAGCCACACATTCGCACATCAGCATTACTACAACATTTAACCATTTTGATTGCTTTGGATTCAACACTCAAATTTTGACGATCATCCCGAGTAGCCCATGTCCTATTGCTCAAATCTGGTAAAGTCAACCCCACATTTGCCTCCATTTTTAATTTTTCACCGCCAACTTGCCTACTTGCCTTTTTGTGACCCTGGATCAACAACAATGGTGCTTATTCCCTTGGTTGAGAATATATTTTTATTTTCGAGAGATCTTGGATTGATCTTGTGACTCGCCATTGCAAACCAACAAACCGACTACATTTGACTAGCTTTTATTTCAAAACAACAACCATGTTAGAATAAACACTCTTTCTTTTTTTTTCCTTTTTTTTTCTTTTTTTTTCTTGTTTCTTTCCTTTCTCTTTTTTTTCTCTTTTTCATTTTCCCTTTTTTTGAAACCATTCGATCGAACCTGATGTGGGTTGCCTACGTATCATGTGGGAACATGAGTCAGATTTTGCGTAGTTCGGGAAGATCATGAATAAAGGAAATAAACTAACTCTTTTTTTTTTGAATTTTTTATTTTATTTTTTCGAAAGAAAGACTTATAAAGAAGAAATGGAATATTTTTGGATTTTGATTTTTCTTCAGAATTTTTGCAAAGAAAGACTTCTAAAGAAAAAAGATTATTTTTTTGAATTTTTTTTCTGGAATTTCGAAAGAAAAACTTCTAAAGAAGAAAGAAAATATTTTGGAATTTTAGTTTGAATTTATGAAAGAAATGCTTCTAAAAAAAAGAAAATATTTTTGAATTTTGAATTTTCTTTTCAATTTTGAAAGAACAGTGAAAATATTTTTGGATTTTTGGAAGCAATTAAAAGAAAATATTTTTGTATATTTTTTTTAAAAAATAATTAGGGTCTAAAAGAAAGGCTTTCTAAAGAAGCAAGTAATGAAAAATATTTTTGAATTTTTTGAAAATTGGAGTCTAAAAAAAAGACTTTTCTAGAGAGGAAGTAAAGGAAAATATTTTTGGATTTTTTGAAAATTATGGGCCGGAACCGATAAGGTTTGCCTACGTATCTCACATCCGGTGAGAATCAGATCCGCGTAGTTCGCCTAGTTTGGCGGAATAAAAGAAAATATGACTTATTTTGAAATGATTTTTCTTTTTTTTTTAAAAAAAAATTTCAACAGAATTTCAGGGTAATTCAAATACCTACCTCTCACTCTCTTTTCTTTTTTTTTTTTTTTTTCGATTTTCATTTTTTTTCATTTTCTTTCCCTATTCTAGAAGCCAGTCAGCATGCAAGCCGAAATAGACATATACGCAAGTAGCACGTAAGATGTATCAGGATGGTCTTTTAATTTGGGTGCACCTGTCCTAGACGGACTCAACCCCTGTATTGAGTCCCCAAGGTCAAATGCACAGATACAAACAAACATTTCTACTAGGGATCCGGTATGAGACCGAGTTATTCTAAGCTAAAAACCTAGGTATATTATTCTAGACTTGTGTACCCGAGCGAACAACTCGAGCCGAGGAGGGGGCTACGTACCGAAAACCAAAAGGTCATCCGGCTTTGTAACTTGTCCGAGCCTCTTTCTTATTTCAAGGTATGACACTAACAGAAGAGGAGTCACACCAGCGTGCACATCCCCAAAGATGAGAAGAGAAGAGTTTCGTAGCAGTTTATATACAATTCAGGTAATATCAAAGCAGTAAAAAGCAACATTTAGCACATTAGACCCAAACATGTAAATAAAATCAGACAATAAATAAAGCCAAATATAACAATTACTCTAAGCTCGAATTCTGAACCCTGAACCAGAAGTTCTGGGTTCTTTTCCCCAGCAGAGTCGCCAGAGCTGTCACACCTCCTTTTTACATACACCCCCGGAAAAGGAGTATATAAGGGAGTTTTTTCCAACTTAAAGTGACAATCGAAACGGGATTTATTTATTTATTAACTTCAGAGTCGCCACTTGGAATAATTTTATGGTGTCCCAAGTCACTAGTTCAAATCCCGAATCGAGAAAAAAATTGACTCTGTTTTACAGTCCGCGAATACAGAAATCCGGGTAAGGAATTCTGTTAACCCTAGAGAAGGTGTTAGGCATTCCCGAGTTCCGTGGTTTTAGCACGGTCGCTTAACTGTCATAATTGGCCTATTATCTGATTTTAATACATGTTTTAGACTATGGTTCAATTTTAACTTTATAACCGCTTTAATTTAAATATATTTATTTTTTAGGAAGATCCAACGCCATCTAAAACACATCTTGAACCACAACACATAAATGCACCCGTGGTCTACGACACATTTCATCTAACGTTATTGAGATTTGGATTTGGGTCACATAAATGCACACCCGAATTTGGGAATTAGGTATCATGACCATGCCATGGGAACCATACCCATAGTCACGATGATTATTATTAATCGCGCCTAAAGCACTCTAACAGTGTTCATTTTTCTCCCTAAACTTTAAGATTATTGTAAGGTCATGATTATGGAACGGGCATTGTGGAAGAAATGCCACTTCTAAATAATCTATCAAGGTAATTAATTTTTATATAGTTACTAGAAACCTTGAAGCATTGGAATCAGTATTCGAAATTGTTCTAAAAGATCAGGTAGTAGTTTACATAGTATCGAACTTCTCAATTTTCATTGTCAAATTAACAAGATTGTTAAAAATTTGGATCTTCAAGAGAAGATTATTTCTCCTAAAATTTCTTAACAGCTTAAGCTATTCAACTTAGAAAGTAATACTTCTCCTTATTAAGTCACTGATTAAGAAAATTCGTCTCTTTAGCTATAGATACCAAAATAGTGAAACACAAGTCTAATTTTACTAACAACACAAATAAATTGATGAACAAGTCAACATAAATAAATAAGTCACTCAATAAATTATACAGATACCACTAATAAATAAGTTACAAACAATAGATTTATCCATAAAATCACTCGATTTAAACCGTGTAACAATATAATTAAGCTCATACCGAAGAAGATTTCAACTCTTAATTTCACAAATGAACTTTTCGTTTTGATTTAATAAACAATCAGCGATAATAAATATCACTAGAAATGAGTTAAATGGATCGGAAAATTCAACGGACCTCTCTGAAGGGAACCTCACCGAAAATCTCGTAACTCCGCGAATTCCTCAGCTCGACTTCGGCGTATCTTTGGATGGAAAATTAGTGAATTTTTGTGACTTATATGATGTTTGGAAATTGGGTTTAAAGGGTATTTGAAGGTGGGATTTCTAATGGAATTTTGGGGTAATCGTTGGTTGGTTTAAGGTGAGGTCTTGGAGATGGAGAAGGGAGATGGCTGCCCGCCGTTTTTCTTCTTTCTTTAGGTCTTAGGTCTTGAAAACTTAAGGATAGGGTTTCTATAATTGGGTATTTTATATGGAAGTGGGAAGGGATGATGACCATTGAATTAGAAGGAAATAGATGGCTAGCATTAAATCTTGCACTTAAATGGGCTAATGTGTTGGGAAGAATGAGCTAAGGGTAATTGGGTTGGACCATATCTTTTTGTGTCTCAATTTTGGGCTAAGAAGACTCAAAAAATTATTATTTAAAACCATAGCTAAATTCCCTTAATATAAGATAACTATACTACATGATGCAAAAATAAATTCTAATTAATTAAACTAAACTATATTAAAACATGAAACTATTACATATTTTTTTTGTATTCTTCAAGATTATATAAAGATAAAAACAAGGTGCTATTTTTGTATTTTTTTTACTTTATGAAAGGTACATAAAATAAAATATTTTTTTTGTAATTTTTATTTTCTTGTAATAAAATAAAGTAAAAGAGTCAGAATTAGTTGAAATAGCGACATTAGGTCTAAATTAAATATTTACATACTAAAATATAAAAAATCTTGGGGAGGATCAAAAATCACATGTCTACATTCACGAAATCTGAAAAGCATGATTGAATCAATAAAGCAAATAGAGGGGAGGGGAAAGGAAGGTTCATGGTGTAACAATTTCAAGCAAGTAAATGGATGGGGAAAGGTAGGTACATGAAAGAAGTCAAAGAAAGAAACTTGATAATCCAGACAAACAAAGATTTGTCATGGTAAAAGCCTAAGTATATCCCCGCAGAGTCGCCATGTTGTCGCATCCCGTTTTCTCGCAAAAGTGAATTTCGACATGTGACAACTCTTTTAAATGTTATTAAAAGAGAAGAGTCACCACCTAATGATTTTTGAGGTGCGTCAGGGCATCTATTTGCGAATAACTCTGTTTAACTAGTCTATGTTTCTAGTATCGGCTAAGGGCTCAAATTACCTCGAGAAGAAAGTGTTAGACATTCTTTGAGATCGAATTAACTATCCTAAGTGAGCATGCAAGTTAATTTGTTAAGTTTTAGATGTTCCACCTAGATAAATCAAAATTTCTCCACAACACTAGATGTACAAGGAACAATAAGGCACGATGAGGGGTATCTTAGATTTTTTAGCCTAAAGGATTACCCCATTCAAATGAAATAATACTTTACAACCTTTAAGTGCAATGGTTGCTCGTATTATCCAGCGAGCACAAAATATCATCTCCAACTACCCTATTAATATTTTTAAGTATTTATCTAAAGCGCACTAATTCAATTCTTAGTCATACCTGTTTACCTTGAAAATGGTAATTACAATTAGATTTGATTTTCTAGTTCTAAAAATACGTTATTTATTTTTATGCTAGTTGTTAAGCAGTAGATGCTAGGTGTGAGACTAGAAAAATGAGATAAGAACTTTGAAAGCAGTATGTTTAAGCAAACCGAGTGGTTGAGAATCGGGGTCTCGAGCCAGATTATACGGGGCCTCGAGGTCGAGCTAGATACTGAGCTGTGGACAGCCGATGAAGGACTAATAGCTTTGAGAGCTTTGATGAAGGCTCTTTAAGATCAATAATGAGTAATAAATGAAGAACAATTAATGAAATACAATAAATGTAAGTAATAGAATCAAGGGAGAATATGTTTAAGTTAGAGAGCAGAGAATGTTCTTGTTCTTATATTGAATGTTGTGTGTCTTTACAAAATGACAAGGGTCCCCTTTATATATGGGGAAGAATCCCAACATAGTACAAATGTATTTATTACAATGATATATAGCTGGTACAACTATTTAATGACACGGTACTGGCTCATAGTAGCCTAATAGACTTGGTCAGCCTAAATCACGTGCCTTAGGAACTTTCCATTTTTCCATCATAACTACCGATCTGCACTGCCCCGAGGTCAAACATTGATAACCCCTCAGGTTTGAACCTCGACCATTTCTTGAGCATTTGGAGACGTGCCTACGAAGTGTCATAATGACTATAAAATCAGACCCTCTGATTTTTACCGTATACAGATAGTCCCCACGTTTCTTAGGATGAAAATGACAAGAAACGGTCTTGAATTCTTACCTCTTCAATACTACCCCCGTGACGTCAGCCTATCAGAGCACTAAATGCCATGACTCAAAAGAATGTGTAGGGGTCGTTGTCAATACGACTATCGAGAAGCCCATAAACCGCTATTGGTTCAACCTTTTCGCTTCCCAAACGCTGCTCATGTGGCTTCTATAAATGCCTCAATCGTTTTGCCATTCAAATTTTACAACACCTTCAAGATTTTATAGCTAAGTTCACCATCTTCTGCATTCTTCTCCCTTATGTGCTTGCTTATTCACTTTCCTTCCTAGAGACCCCTCCTTTTCATAGTCATGGCCAGAACCTCTAGAACGGTACCTCAAAAGGAGGGCACCGCCTCATCGTCACGCCCATCGAAGTGCAAACCAAAAGTACCCCCAACTGTCGAGAAGTGTACCCCTACCGAATTCAATATTGTATCCGATTTTTCCATCAAAAACCCCCTGCTACACCAGGCCGATCTGAGCACATGTCTCGGTACATCAGCGTGGTGACCGATACGAACAGAGTGAAGAGAGACTACCGATGGGGGGAGGCGGCATTATTAGAAATCCCCAATTCTGGGGAGAGCATAGTAGACCATAAATCTAGCTTCCTCAGCGTATATACATACCCATTTACTTTAGGCCCCGCATATTCTTCGGATCCTTCTTCCCCGTTGATAGATCCGGTGATTCTCGATTTCTACCATGAGTACCGAGTGACGCTTGGTCAGATCTATCCTTCTTTCTAGAGGATCATTGACATGCTTTAATACTTTTCCAACCAGGTCGAGGGTATGACCTTCACCCTCAATCACTTGGTCAGATTATATAGCCCTCGTCTTTTTTGTGGTTTGATCAAGCTTCATCCTCGATCCACGAGGCTGTTCTTTTCGAGCATCGATGAGGACAAGGATCGGGGGTGGATGTGCCGGTTTGTCCAAGTGAGGACCTCAGACATTATCCCGGCTAATAGGATGCCATTCTAGGAGGAGTGGAATATGAACCGTAAGTTCCCCTACTTCGAACATATTTTATTGCCTTTTCATCCCCTTCTGAAAATGATCTTCTCTTGATTATGCAGTCACCATTTGGTACCCTGGCGCGGTTCAGAACCTATTGGGATGGATCAGACATTTGGATTCTGCTTTCCCCTATCTCGATCGTTCTTGGCGCGACTTGGCCAAAACGTGGTGGCAGGCCAAGAACCACAGTATGCTCTTTACTGCTATTTGTACCATGTTTCCTTATAAACATCTTTTATGGTGGTAATTTTGATGCATCGCGCTTATGTAGTCCTCGAGGATGGAGTGTTGATGAGATCGTCTCCTGATGGTGAGGAAGGGACCTCAAAGCCCGATAAGGGCAAGAAGAGGAAGAAGTAGGCGTCGACTGCGTCTCTCAAATCAGAGAAACCTAAAGTTCAAAGGCCTCGGACCGATGCCAAAGTCTCAACTTTGGTTGCTGTGGCGAGTCCCCGTGCCGAGGATGAAGGCGATGATAATGATGAAGTCCCTTTGGTACAAAGGACGAGACCAGGTGTGGATGCTCCATAAGTTGTTGGGCAGAAAGCCGCCAAATCGGGTGTGGTCGATATAGACCAAACCCGTGCTAAGAAGACCCTCGAGGAGGGTGCGGGTACAGTCCCCAAGTTCCAAGTCGGACATAGTGCAATCCGCGCTGATGAGCCCGCCGCTAGTGACTTCGGAAGGCCTGAGCCCGAAGCTTCTCGGGGGCAAGATGAGACCCTTAGAGAAATTAATGCCCTAGGTGGCTTTAATTTGGGCCATTCGTACTCACTGAGGGAAATCAGGGATGCACAAGACTCGGGTACCGCCGACATGGGGGCTTCTCATAAAGGGGAAGATGTACTCGAAAACCTTTTCGTGGGTGTCGACAAAGACATCGACCTTGATGCTCCTATTGCTCTCGAGGAGGTAGAGAGGCTTCAGTAGCAGGTGATATTCTTTGGCATATTTTTTAGCGCTTCAAATTTTTTGCCTTTGTTTTTCTAACTTCCTTGCTTCGTTACAGTCCAAGAAAATGTATGACCATGCCTTTTCTAGGCTTTGAGACGAGCTTTCGTGCTGTGGGAAGGAGATTGAGAAGCTCACCTCGGAGCTAAAGAAGTCGAATGCCTCTTCTGCCCAAAAGGGGGAGGAGTTGAGCGGACTTGGGGCGAATTTGGAGGGAGTGCGCTAGGAAAGGGCTGGCCTCGCTGAGCATGTATCACGGTATCTATGAAATCATCTTTTATTCTTTTAACTCGATGCTCACCGACTTGTTTTTCCTTTGCAGATTGGGCAGAAATATGCCCTGGTAGGGCGACTTCAAGAAAAGGCTACAGTCAAGGATAAAAAGATCCTCAAGCTAAAGGAGCAAAATAAGGCCGTGACCTCGGAGAGAGACCTCTTGTGGATAGAGTTGACATTGGTCCAGGGTCTTCTTCGAAATGCTCAGGAGGAGGCTGCTGCACTATCTGTGGCCAAGTCTGAGGCCGAAGAGAATGTGTCTTCATACATGAAAGATACCGCTACTACAAATGAACGAGCCCGAGAGATATTAGAGAAGGCCAAGCAGAAACTGGCTCGGGCCGTTGCTTACGCTCGTTCGCAAGAAAGGAGGCAGGCTCTCGAGGAAGCAAGCGCCATAGGCGTCGATCTCTCAGCTGAGATTGAGGAAGCTCGAGTCTTGAAGGAAGAATTGGCATTTTCGGCCACTTCAGACGAGGGTTCCGGAGTTGATCCAAATAGTAGCGATGGTGAAGAATAGACCCACGCCGTCTTCCTTTCTTTTTTGTGTATGAATTTCTCGGGGGGAACGGTTTTGTAAAGACACCCCTTGTAAATATATTTTTGGTAATGCTAGAAGATTTTCCTGCTTCAAGTCTTCGAATTTGTTTTCAACTTTTATGTTAAGTTAGTTTGTTGGATTTTGATGTTGGCTCTTTTTGGAGCCCTTATTCGAAGTAGCTGAAATCCTCAAGATCGAGCACCA